TCTACTCGGATTTCATTAGAGGTGGATCCGTATGTAATAAGATTATATTAGAGGTGGACCCATATGTCATGGGATTTTATTAAAGGTGGATCCATTTGTAATTATTCGAGCTCGATCCATATGTAAATTGGTGCAAAACGTCATGTTCCAGGGGACTGAGACAAAACCTCCCGCCCCCCCCTCCCACACACCCCTCCTCCCCCTCCTCCTCTTCCTCCTCCTGCTCCTCCTCCTCCCGCACACCCCTCCCACACACCCTTCCTCCCCCTCTGCCTCCTCCTCCTTCTCATCCTCCTCCTTCAGGCTTTGCGTTGCATACCCAGCTACCCTGTGGTTCGTTGCTTCGGCCAGACCAGCTCAACAAACACGGCTTGAGTTCTGGCACCCGCCACGCGCAGTCTTATGCAATTCTAAACGTTTCGCGTATCCCCACCAGCTTTTGACTGCGCCGAGCCCAGCTTCTGAGCCGGGCGCCGTTCTTCTCACTGTTTTGTCCTTCGCTTCGGCGCGGCCCGCCCTAGCTTTGCACAGCTTTCTTCGCGAGCCCGCGTGCCAAAAAGTATCGCCACCAACCCATCCAGAAACGATGCCCATGAGAGTTAACGGGGGGAGAGAGGAAGAGACGCGCATAGCCAAACAGCAAGGGAGGCTTGGGGGGGGTCGTGGCCATCTCGGGTCGTCGTGGAGCGGTCTCGGGGCCGCCTTCGGGCGCTCTAACCCCTCGCGAACCTCCAAAAAAACATCCGGAAGGGGAGGGGGAGGGGTCTCCTCCCCGAAGGGAAGAGGGGTTGTGGAAGCGAACATCCTTAGACCACCTGTCGCCCAGAGGATTGGTGGGATTACGACCCCCCTCGGGAGCAACACAAATTGCCTTTTGGGCCCTTTTGGGGGCGTTTTTGGGGTGCCCTTGGGCGCTCTTGCAGCCGTCTTGGAGCTCTCTTGAGCCTCTCTTAGGGCTCTGAAGAGGCCATCGGAAACAAAAGGACTAGAAGGCCAAATTCATTGATGCCCCCAGAGATTTGAATTGATATTGGCTTCTTGGCAGCCTCTTGGGGCGGCTCCGTGGCCATTCGGAGCCGTCTTGGAGCGGTCTTGGGGCCCTCTTGGGGCGCTCTTGGGAGCCTTGGGGGCGCGTTGGGTCCATCTCGGAGGAGATCGATCAAAGAAGGGGGAGCTTCAAGTAGCGTCGCCCCTCGAGAGTGCCTAGAATTGCCTCTTGGGCCCCTCTTGGAGCGCTCTTGGGGCGCTATTGGGCGCTTTTGGGTCCGGTTTGGGGCTCTCTTGGGCTTCTTTTGGGGCCATATTGGAGCCATCTTGAGGCCCCGGAAGGCCATCGTAAGCAAAAAGGCGAGAAGGCCAACTTCATTCATTTTCGGTACGTTGTCGACAAGTGTCGGCATAGCGGCGGCATCCTGGGGGAGGCTTCGTGGCCATCTCGAGCAGTCTTGGAGCGGTCTTGGAGCCTCGTGGGGCATCTTGGGGCCATCTTGAGCCAGCTAGGATTCGCGTATCTTGAACCATATTGAAGGTCATCTTGGGCTCTCTGAGGCCGCTGGGGGGGCATTCGGGTGTTTCTTGGAGACCTCTCGGCGGCCTTTTGGAGCGCCCTTGGGGCCTCTTGGGGCGCTAGTGGAACACTCGTCGGGGCCTTTTGGGAGCCCTGGAGGGCCTCTTGGGGCCATCTTAGAGGCGGTCGGTCCAAAGAGGGGGGGGTACTCGATCTAGGTCCCCCCCCGGGGGCCACGATCCTCGTGAGAGGTGGCAACAATGGCCCTTCCAACGGCCGAACACGCAGCCTCCGACACCTCGCGATCCCTCCCAAAACACCTCAGGGACGGGAGGGGGGGGCCCGCCTTCCCGAAGGGAAGAGGGGTTGTGGAAGAGGAAAGAGACCCTTCTTAGGTCACCTGTCGCCCAAAGTGCTGGTGGGATTTCCAAGGTCTTGGTTGGTGGGTCGACACCAAGGCCTGTCACGGTCCACCATTATTCCGTTGCTGAACCAATTCGGTAATTATCTGCACTGCCGCCAGATGGCACATCATCTTCGTCGTCATTGGAATTCTGCCAGGACTGCGGGTTAAGGCTATGCAGCGCGTGCCCAATTGGCTTGCAGCCCGTTGCTTCGGCCAGAACGACTCAGCAAACACGGCTGGAGCGTTGGCATCACAGGCCGCCCGTTGTCAGGCACGATGTCGTGAATAGTGTTAGGGCTGTGGGCTAAGGGCCATTGCATCGTACACTCACCCAGCGTGCGGTCTGCTGTTTCGGCCAGACCGACTCAACAATCACAGCAGGCTTCCTGCCATTCGCAGCGCCGCACTTGTTAGGCTGGGGCTTCGGTGTTCCGAAGAGTTTGGCGGTAACGTCGGCCAGGGTCAACCATTAGTGCTGTTGTGCCGCCCAACATGCGTCCTGCAACTCACCCAATCGGTCCCTCGAATTAATGGCGGTGCTAGCCCCCCATGAGCCGTGAGGAAGTTGCACGCGCCCCGGTCAGGTCTTCTCCTCTGCGCCCTCCTCCCCCCCCGTCAAGTTTGGCCCCACCCCTGTTGTGTCCCATCTCCCCCCGCGGTGGCCCCCCTTCTCTCCTTCCGAACTACACTCCCTCTTGCACGCCCGTCACGCTAGTGAACTGTGCCCTCCTATTGCACGCACGGGGTTATGTAGGGTAGGGGGAAATGTCTGCACTGTCAACGGTTGGCTATCCGTCGACGCTGCCCGGTGCAGGGCGCCACTCCTGCACAGTCCGAGTGTGGCTTGCCAGCATGGGTTCGCCCTCGTCAGCAACAAACAGGAACAGACTGCGAGTTGGGGCTTCCCCAAGCGACGGGCGTCTCTCCTTGGCAATCCCTCCTCGATAGAGGAGTGTTCAACGGCGGCCCTCTCGCAAACCTGGCAGTTTGGTCAGTGAGCCTCCCAGTCCTCTTCTCCGCCTCATCCTTCTGATCCGCCACCTCATGCCCCTCTTGGTTCCTCCTGCCCTCTACGCCGGTCCTGGAAATCCGCTACAGCTTAAGATGTCGGACCTCGAGAGGGGGAGGATGGAGGAGGAATCGGAGGGGGAGCAGGAGGAGGAGTAGGGAAGGGGAAAGGGGAACGAGGAATGAGGAAGGAGGAGGACCAGGCGGATGAGAAATGAGAGGAGGAGGAGGAGGAGGAGGAGGAGGAGGGCAAGCAGAAAGGCCAGGGGCCTTTAGATGCCTCTCGGAGTCTCTTCGGATTTTTTTCGGGGCCATCTTGGGGCACCGTTGGGGACCTCGGGGGCCATCTTGGGGCACCCTTGAGAGCCTCGGGGGCCATCTCGGGGCCATTTTGGAGGCGATCATCCAAAGGAGGGGCCGTACTGAATTAGCACCCCGCCCTCGGTGGCCGAAATGTGCCCAAAACCTTGATGCAACCACTGATGTTAGATTCTTCGACGAGGCCAACCCCTCTGACACCTCGCGGCCCCCCCCCGTCCAGACTCGGGGGAGGGAGTAATGTCAGCATGTGATTAACAAAAAGTCCCCACCTGGGGTTGATGAATAGACCCCGCGGGGCGCGATATGTTTTTTAACACGCGCGCCAGGGGGAAGGAGGAGAGAGGAGGGGGAGAAGGAGGAGAAGGAGGAGAAGGAGGAGGACGAGGAAGAGGAGGAGGAGCAGGAGGAGGAGGAGGAGGAGGAGGAGGAGGAGGAGGACGAGGGAAGGGGGGGTTGCACAGCCTGCTGCGCGCAGCTGGTTTCGGTCGCCCCGCCGGAGGGCCAGTCCTCGACGCATGACCGCTTTCGGCGCCAGGAGGCGCTAGGAAAATCGGCGACTTGAGCTGCTCGGTAAATCCCCCCTTTGCTGCGCCCCAGTTTCGTCCAGCCCGCCTTACCCGCAGGCCCGCATCGGTTAGACAGAAAGAGGGGCGCCCTGGCCCGCCCTTGCCTCCAAACACCGACCCTTGCCCCTCGTTGGCGGCCCGGCGTCGGCGCTTATCACCGGCGCCGCCCCGTTGATTTTCAATCTGGCGGGTGCCACCCCGCGATTCGCCCGAGCAGGGAAACTATTTTTTAACACGCGCCCTCCACGGATTTGTTAATCACACGCGCCCCCCAAGGATAAACCCCTCCCCGAATGGGAAGAGGGAAGATGGAAGAACGAACACCCTAAACCACTCACGCCCTACAGGGATGATGGGATTCGACCAAGAACCTCTGGAGCATAAGTTCTGATTTTCAATCCCCCTCCGTTACCGTGCCGCCCCCTTCCAAATTGAGGGGACGGGGATTCCACGACTCCAGAATTGGCTGAATATATGGAGAAGAGGGAGGGGGAGAAGGGAGAAGATGCGGGAGCAGCTTTCGACAGCAAATGCGCCCCAGGGCCATTCGGGATCGCTGCTTGCAGCCCTGCCGACCAGCAGGGAAGCGCCGTCTGCTGCCAGGTTGTTGAACTACACAGGCGGAGGAGGAGGAGGAGGAGGAGGAGGAGGAGGAGGAGGAGGAGGGGGAGGAGGAGGGGGAGGAGGAGGAGGAGGAGGAGGAGGAGGAGGAGGAGGAGGAGGAGGGGGGGGAGGCACTTGGAAGTGCTGCTCCCGCCCCAGACCCTGACCCCTGGCCAGAGGCTTCAGGAGGCCTCCACGGGCCCGACGCTGGCCAGAGACGTCCGACCACACACACACACACACACTTTCACGCACACACACGCACACACACACACTCACACTCTCACACTCTCACACACACACACTCTCACACACACACACACACACACACACACTCTCTCACACACACAACACAACACACACAACAACACACACACACACACAACACAACACAACACAACACAACACAACACAACACAACACAACACAACACACACACACACAACACAACACAACACAACACAACACAACACAACACAACACAACACACACACACACAGACACAACACACACACACACACCACCCTCGACCCTCGAGGCCCGAAGGGCAAAACTTGGCAGGTGGAAGCCCTGGAGCCAGGGGTGCCAGGTGGAGGCCATCGTATTTCCGCTCGTCGACCGGGCGCGCGACGCGTTCATCGAGTCGGCCACCGAGCGGGGGGAGCCATTGGTCGTGCTGGACGCGCGCCGCCAACAAGTGGGGGAGGAAGGGGAGGGGGAGAGAAGATCGGGGGCATCGGAGGGTCGAGGAAACTCCAGCGTGGGTGCTGGCGCGGGGATTCTCCATGGGCCCCCCGCTCCGATGCAGACATCGGCGCGCACCGTCGCCAGATCGGGCGGCACCGGCTTCGCAGCCGGCCCCTCCCAATCAGTCCCTCTCGGGGGAGGTGTGTGTGGGGGTGTGGGTGGGTGGGGGGGGGGGAGGAGGAGGAGGAGGAGGCGGAGGAGAGAGGAGGAGGAGGAGGAGGAGGAGAGGAGGAGGGAGGAGGAGGAGGAGGAGAGGAGGGGAGAGAGGAGGAGGAGGAGGAGGAGGAGGAGGAGGAGGAGGAGGGGGGGGGGAGGGCAGAACCCAGGGACGCGGGCCGCCGCCACTGCCGCCTCGCATGCAGCGATCGGCAAGCCGCGGACCAGAGGTCACCCTTGCCCGGGGTCGCTCTTGCGTGCCGCAGGCCCGAAGGGGAGGAGCCCGGGGAGCGCAGTGCCTCCTCCTCCTCCTCCTCCTCCTCCTCCTCCTCATCATCATCATCATCATCATCATCCTCTGCCCAGAGAGGGCGCCTTCCCTCAGGTGACTGTTCCTGTCCTGGACTCTGCGCGTGTACAGTCAAACATGCATGCTGCTAGCACGGCCCTCTGCAGGGCCTCTGGGGCAAATGGCTGCGGAGGTCGGGGGAGCGCTGCTGCAACAAACCGTGTTCTCCCACCTGTACTGAATTGTGTAATTGTGCAACGATCTTGCCAGAAACTGATTGAATTCAGGTCGATATTCACATGATGCTCGAAGCAACGTCGATGGGATCACTGGATTCCCCATCGCTGGTGCAACAGGCTGGGTGGGGGGGCAACAAATCGTCCCCCCCTCGGCACACTGATAAGGAACATCACACGACCTTTCACTGGGCGACCCGACCTGTCATACAAGATAAGATCTGGACTGTTTTTCGAATCGCCGTCGGTGGGTGGACTCTCTTCAAGCCCCGGGCGTAGGTGAAGGTGACACCAGAATCACGTTAAGAGAACGCTAATTTCTTCGCCTGAGGCTCCACCTAACCGACATGTTGGCGATCGTATGGCGCCGTTGATCGGATCTACTATCTGCCCTACTTGCCTGTTGGTGTAGCCCCGTGCGCTAAAATTTTCATGGAAAAACAATACCTGGTTGTTGAGATCGTGATCTTCCGTGCATGTCCGCATTAGTCGGTGCAACTCGCTTTTGACAATATTTGCGAAGATAGAAGGGTAGAATACGTAGCACCCCGCAATTGCGGATAAGAGTGAGGGGGCGGGCGCGGGCGACGCGGGCGTCGTCGAGCCGGCGGACCTCGTGGCCCCCACCTTCCCTGTCAATGGCGCTCTCCTCCTCCTTATCCTCATCCTCCTCCTCCTCCTCCTCCTCCTCCTCCTCCTCCTCGTCCTCGTCCTCATCGTCATCGTCATCCTCCTCCTCCTCCACCTCGTCCTCCTCCTCCTCCTCTTTTCACTCCTCGCTCCCTCTCCCCCCCTCGTCCTTTCATCATCGTCCTCCCATTGTCGTCCTCCCCCTCATCGGCCTCCATCATCGTCCTCCCAGCATTGGTTTGTTCAGTGAACGTGGTTTAGGTCGCGGGTGGGTCGCGGGCTGTCCACCTCCACCTGGAAGGAATGCAAAAGCAGCCCGCCGCAGGCGCCAAAAAAATTGGTTTGTACGTAGCACCCCGCAATTGCGGATAAGAGTGAGGGGGCGGGCGCGGGCGACGCGGGCGTCGTCGAGCCGGCGGACCTCGTGGCCCCCACCTTCCCTGTCAATGGCGCTCTCCTCCTCCTTATCCTCATCCTCCTCCTCCTCCTCCTCCTCCTCCTCCTCCTCCTCCTCCTCCTCCTCCTCCTCGTCATCGTCATCATCGTCATCGTCATCCTCCTCCTCCACCTCGTCCTCCTCCTCCTCCTCCTCTTCATCCTCGTCCTCCCTCTCCCCCCCTCGTCCTTTCATCATCGTCCTCCCATTGTCGTCCTCCCCCTCATCGGCCTCCATCATCGTCCTCCCAGCATTGGTTTGTTCAGTGAACGTGGTTTAGGTCGCGGGTGGGTCGCGGGCTGTCCACCTCCACCTGGAAGGAATGCAAAAGCAGCCCGCCGCAGGCGCCAACAAAAATTGGTTTGTACACTGAACGTGGTTTGGGTCGCGGGTGGGCCGCGGGTTCTCCACCGGGAACGAATGCAAAAGCAGCCCGCCGCAGGCGCCGAAAAATGTGGTTTGTACCCTGAACGTGGTCGCGGGTGGGCCGCGGGCTCTCCACCTGAAACGAATGCAAAAGATGCCCGCCGCAGGCGCCGAAAAATGTGGTTTGTACCCTGAACGTGGTTTGGGTCGCGGGTTGGTCGCGAGTTGGTCACGGGGTGGGCCGCGGGCTCTCCACCTGGAAGGAATGCAAAAAAAGCTCGCCGCAGGCGCCGAAAATGGTGGTTTGTACCTTGAACGTGGTTTGGGTCGCGGGTGGGTCGCGGGTGGGTCGCGGGGTAGGTCGCGGATGGGTCGCGGGTGGGTCGCGGTTGGATCGCGGGTGGTTCGCGGGTGGTGTTCGCGGCGGGTGCCCGCGGCGAGGTCGCGGGGTGGGTCGCGGGGGGGTTGGTCGCGGGGGTGGGTCGCGGGTGTGTCGCGGGTGGGTCGCGGGTGGGGTCGCGGTGGGTCGCGGTGGGTGGCGGTGGGTCGCAGGGTATATCAAAGCAGGGGTGGGTCGCGTGTGGGTCGCGGGGGCGCTTGGCGGGTGGACGACGACGACAAACACCAACCCAACAACACAGAAAACAAAACAACAACAACAACAACAACAACAACAACAACAACAACAACAACAACAATCACTTTACCCGAACGCTCAGTGTTCTCACAGTGCCAGGGTTTTCATGCGACGCCAGCCAATACCCCCACTTTGTGGGGGGGCAGTGCAAGCTCTACCAAATATCCACACGACTCTTCGCCACCACCCACACCCAGCTTCCGGCCCTATCACCCAGCTTCCCGCCTAATGACGTTCGGACACTTCCTTTCGTGGCCTGCGGACGACCGACCGTGGCTACTACACTGGCGTGGAGAAGATCCTTCCACAGAAAGTTGTTAATGCTAAGCCTACGTTACACCCACAGAAGTTGTTAAGCCTTGTTAACCCACAGAAAGTTTTGTAAGCCTTCCACATAAACATCTGTTGCATATGATGCATATGGTACATGAATACACTGGTCACAATGATTAACGTACTCACAAGATTTTGATCACATCTTTTGGCAAATTCCTGAGGATGTTCGGAAACACAAGGATTCGTTCGGCGTGCGCGCGCGAAGAAAAAACGAATGTGTCCCGCATGGTATTATGTGACAGGGATGATGGCCCTGGCAGGTGCGCAACCGTTGTTGCAGAAGTTCGAAAAAGTTGCTCGCAAAAGCCCGTTTGACAGAAATGTTTAAAAAGTGTTGGGTTTCCTACGAATCCGCAAGAGCGCGCGGGTTGAGATTTTGACATTTTTTTGTTGAAAAACCATTGGTTTTTTTGATGTTTTTATGTTAAAATCGCTGCGAACACTAAGCTTTTGGAAGGATTTCGTCTTGCGCGCGCGAATGTCCACTTTACCTTATTTTTTGCAAGGGATTCTTGAAATTTGATTATATTAGAACAAGAAATGTCATTTTATAGTGTTTTTTGCAAGGGAAAGCGGGTGGGAACAAAACAACCGGATCTTGATCACATCGAATTACCTGAGGCTTCCTCACGAAAATGATGAAAATGTAGCTGCGGCCTAGGCGGCGCAGGGGGGCCGTGCACCGGGGGCCCCAACAATAATTATTCTTTAGAATTAATAATGTTCAACAACAACAACAACAAACAACAACAACGAGAATCCGCACCGCGGAATTCCACTTCAGCCACGCACCCAGGGACAGTGAATGACCGTTCGGCCCCCTCACTCTGACACTGAACGTGGTTTGGGTCGCGGGTGGGCCGCGGGTTCTCCACCTGAAACGAATGCAAAAGATGCCCGCCGCAGGCGCCGAAAAATGTGGTTTGTACCCTGAACGTGGCTTGGGTCGCGGGTTGGTCGCGAGTTGGTCACGGGGTGGGTCGCGGGCTCTCCACCTGGAAGGAATGCAAAAAAAGCCCGCCGCAGGCGCCGAAAATGGTGGTTTGTACCTTGAACGTGGTTTGGGTCGCGGGTGGGTCGCGGGTCGCGGGGTAGGTCGCGGATGGGTCGCGGGTGGGTCGCGGGTGGATCGCGGGTGGGTCGCGGGTGGGTCGCGGGGTGGGCCGCGGGCGGGTCGCGGGGTGGGTCGCGGGGTGGGTCGCGGGGTGGGTCGCGGGGTGGGTCGCGGGGTGGGTCGCGGGTGGGGTCGCGGGTGGGTCGCGGGTGGGTCGCGGGTGGGTCGCGGGGTGGGTCGCGGGGTGGGTCGCGGGTGGGTCGCGGGGCGGATTGCGGGTGGGACGACGACGACAAACAACAACAGCAACAAACAACAACAACAAACAACAACAACAACAACAACAACAACAGACAACAACAACAACGAGAATCCGCACCGCGGAATTCCACTTCAGCCACGCACCCAGGGACAGTGAATGGCCGTTCGGCCCCCTCACTCTGATGTAGTCGCATATATTCCACATCTTGCCACATGTAGATACATAAACTACCCTGCTCGGACCCACATGCCACCTGACTCCAGAATATGGATCATCTCACCCGCTGCAATATCTGATCCTTCTTACCTTGTCTCGAGCCCCTTTGGCGCAAGATGGGCCCCGCTGGGCGAGCGCCTCGCGCGGCAAACCGCCGCGCCTCTTTCCCATCCAATCCAGGAGGCAGTCCACCTCTGGATGGCGGCCCGCCGGGCCAACAAACATGGAGCTGCGCGTCGGAGGCAAGTTCCGTCTGGCCCGAAAGATCGGCTCGGGGTCCTTCGGTGACATCCACATCGGCGCCAATGCGGCGTCGG